ATTCAGGGAACGGTGGGGACTGTGGTGCACTTTAGGGAAACAGCTACTGCCCAGCTTTAGGGAATGCTTGCCACGTTGAAATGAGGGCCCAGGCCTTTCCATGTCTCAAATGATGGGAGGAAAAACTATTTTATACAAAATCTGAAGAATGTTCAGTGTTGGTGACTTAAATAAAAACTTCTCAAAGTCCAGTTGGGGACAGACAAAACACTGGATCATGGTTTGCAACCTCCATTTACTGACTGCCAGGCCCTTTGCTAGGCAATCTGAAGAACACAGAGTGAGGAGGGCAGCAGGCTTGCTGGTGGAAAACTCCTAGGGGCTGCAGAACCTCAACCTGTCAATAAAGAACTGCTGGGATCAGGGCCTGAATGGGGAGGTTAGAAGCGGGAGGGAGACCATGTGAGGAAGGTTTTGTCCGGGAGGAGATCCCTGAGCTGGACTGTGTGAATAGAGAGGGAACAAAACAAATCTGGACAGAAGAACAGCTTTGGATTTGGGGAAGGGTAGGTGTTTCCATGGGGCTGGGTGCACTGGGGTACAGGGGATTGTGGGGCAGGCTCAAGCTCCAGCTCACAGAGAGCCACGTGTGCCCAGCAGAGGCACCTAGCCGGGACCTCTCAGCTCTGGGTGTCCGCCTCTGAGACCAGCAGGTGGGATAACAGAAAGTGTAGGCAAGCACTGAAGGTGGAAGCCAGAAGCCTAGCTCTGACCTGCCGTACCATTTCCGGGATTGCATTCATTCATTTAGGCTGAAGATCACAGCAAGCGATGGTCAGTTTTGAACCAGGGGCCGAGGCTTCGGAGAGGAACAAGTCAGGAGTCGTCTCTGCTTCAAAGTCTGATGGCGGCCACTGAAGAAAGTTGGGACAACTGCTCTGATGCTTTACTTAGAAGAGGGCTCTGCAAATCGCTGGGGCATTAATAATAGGTTTGTAGAGGAGGCGACTTTTAAGCTGTGTCCTGATATATGAGTAGGAGTTTGCCAAGAGGACAAAGTGGAAACAGCAATGGGCTGCATGTAGAGATGGTGAAATGCACAGGTCTACTGGGAACTTGCTTCAGGAAAAGGGAGTTCATTCAAACACTTGACACATACTTGCATTCCTATGTGCCAGGAGCTGTGCTAGGCACTGGAGGCATGACAAAGCAGACACCCTGCACCCTCACAAAGCTTATGCTGTTTAATTCCTTTGTGCCTCAGTCTCCCCATCTCTGAAATGCTTTACATACCTCGCAGAGCTTCCCTGAGGGGGTGAATAGGATTACACAGGCGAACATACATGTATTTGGGAAGACAGCGAGTGTCACATTGGCATACAGGAAATGCTCATTAAACACCGGGGGTGCCAAAAAGGTGTGCATATTTTAAGAGATGTTACATCCGTTTTACTTTTCAAAGTTGAATTGAATTACGGTAGCAATGGGTAGTATGATGTTTGCTTAAAAGATGGCGTTAATCAAATGAATGCTAGCATGATTCATTGTATTACAATTTTAATACAGTGTTTTCCTTTCTTAAAATGTGTATACACTTTTTTGGCACCCTCTGTATGTGCAGAACTGAAACGGCTTGCTGCCTTGACTCCCTGAGAATCTAAGTCTTGGAGTTAACCTGCCATACACTCACTAGATAAGCAGGCTTGTTCAATGAATGAATACACAAATGGCCAACTGCTACGTGCACTAGACGCTTTCACGCATTTACTACTTACAGCACGCCTGTCAACTACATACTATTTTTTATCTCCATTTTACAGAGGAGGAAGAAGGAGCTTCAAGATGCTGAGACACCGATGGAATATGCCCAGGTAGTGAGAGAGAAGACTCCAGGTTTTTCTTCCCGGCAGCCTGACCTCTGAGCCCCAGCACTTACCCATGTCACATATTGTTGCTCATGTCAAGACAGGGTCTGGATGGCCCAATGGGAAGCACTCAAGAACTTCAAGGGACTTTGCTCCCCACCCTCCTGCCAACTGGGATGGCCCTCAAAGGTTATCTCCCAGGGTCAGGGAAGCTGTTGGTCAGTCTGGCCATCTGGGGCAGGGGAAGCGAGGTGTCATTCCCTTCCTGGGAAGAGGACAATTCTGGTCCTTCTTGTAAGAAACAGATCCTAGATGAACATAAAGCCCTTTAAATATGAGAAGGATGACTGTTAGCCTCTCTCCTGAGGAGGTGACAGAGACTCGGGTTCTTCCAGGTGCCAGAGCTGGAGAAAGTTCAATGATGGATGGGCTTTGACAGAGTGGCTCTTGCTGGTCAGAGTAATTCCAGGCCGCCATACGGCTCTGGGCCAATACACATCAGAAATGAGCTCTGTCTGCAGCTCCTGGGTCCTGGCAAGACAGTTATTTGAAAGTTTTTGTGTGTTTTTTAAGTCTTAGTACAGGCAGATGTTCACTCTCATCTATGGGGAAGATACAGGGCTAAAAGAATGGGCTTGATTAACAAGCAGTCCTGTCCTTCACATACTAGCTGTTTCCACTTGTAAATCTGTGGCCTTGAGCAAGTTACATTGTTTCCTCTGAGCCTGTTTTCTCATCTGTGAAATAGGGACAATGATAAAATCAATGCAATGATTAGCAGAGTGTCTATTGCATTAGGTGCTCAAAACATATTAACTATTATTATGAGCATTCGTTTTTAACTGAAACATTTATTGAGCACCTACTATGTGCCACACAGTGCAAGGGAGATGGGATGAATAAAGCTTTATCCTTAATTTCAAAAGACTTCTGGTCCAGTATGGGAAGTAGATATATCATCTTTTTTGCTCCTTCCCCATCTAGGTGGCTAAGACATCTCTGTGCTGAATGTCCCTGTTTAAACAGGGACCACCTGCATTCTAGGACACATAGGGATTGGGGAGATCTGGGTTTCTGCAGGGGCTGACTCCTGTACCTCTGTCTAGCTATATGCACTTCCCCAGTATTGTCATTTTTGGCTACCCTGTCCTTGTCAGGGTACTAACATAGCACTAACCACAATCTATCATTGTTTTCTATTTATATATTCATATTCTGGGTGAGGGTGCCATCGGCATCTGTGGAAGGGTTTGATGTGGAGGGCTGGGGTCACACACCCAAGCCAGCAAGAACCCCCAGGCTGGGGAAATTGGATGATAACCACAATGATATCCAAATATGGAAGGCTTTACAAATACACCAGCTTTTCAAGCTTGCAAAGCATTTGAGCATTCGTTTCATTTAATCTGCAAGGAAGGAGGTCGCTCCAGTGATATTTTACACATGAGGAAGCTGAATGCAGAGAGGTGGGTTCGAAACCACAATCAGAGCCCCAGCCCACCCAGGTTCTCAAAGTTGTCTGATAAGAATTACTGGGGTGCTTATTAAGTGTTGATTACCAAACCCTCTCTTCAAATTCTAATTCTGAAGGTCTGGATTGGGGCTCAGGAATGAATAGTTTAACAAACACCCCTGGTGATACTTATCTTTAGGCAAGTCCGGACACAGTGCCATTCACTGATTTTTTTTTTTTTTTTTTTTACTTAGCTAAGATTCTTTGGGTCCCAACTATGATCCATACTGTGGTTAAGAGCATGATGAACAAGACAGTTCCCAGCCTTAAGGAAATAACAGTCAGCTGACTGAGCAGATTGTCCAGGTCCCATGGCTGGGGGTCTGTAACCCAGGTCTCTCCTAGGCGAGATCCGTTCCTCCTGGGTGGGACTGGCTTCCACCCGGAAACAGGTTGGAGCCTGCTGGGCCTCCTTCCACTGTCTACCACTTGCTCAGGGCTAAGCTTGTGGTTCTCTGGGGCTGGAGGCATCCTGAGAACGATGCTGAGGTATGCATGGCACATAGTGTGTTTCAGTAAATGCCAGCCAGCTGCTAATATGCTTGTTAGCTAGGAAAGGATATGGGGTGCAGGGGAGAAAGAGCTCTCCTGTGTGGAGGAAAACAACGGGAGCCTGAGGGGGGCACAAGGCTTGACATTTCTTTAAAGATAATTCCAGGTCTGGGCCGACTTTGCACCTGAAAGGGAGGCTAGGCAAGGATCCCTCTTGAGCAGATGAGGAAAGCAGGGCCCAGAGAATTGGAAGTGAGAGGTCCTGAGCTGAAACCAAGGTCTCCTGGGGGAACCGCCAGGGCAGGCAGGGGCTACAGGACATGGACATCACGGGCAACACCTTTTACCTGAAGGATGATATGTACCTGTGAAGAGAAGAGCCTGATGCTATCATAGGCGCTCCACTCATACACTCATGGGGGCCAGGAGGATCACCGGTCAGCTATGCTCAGGGTTCCAGCTTCAGCCAAGCACTTCCCTTTTCCCATGGAGAAGTCCACCCTTCGTTCTAGTCACTCTCAGCCTCTGTCTTCCCCAGGAGAGCACTTCCATATTTGAAGCAGATCCCCGTGGGCCTTCGTCTAGAGCTTACCTTCTTTGTTCCAGAAACTCTGCGTACCCAATAGCTCCCCAGAGCCTAGCCCTCCAGATGGGCCCTGCCAGATAAGGCCAGGGGGTGCTTCCAGAGGTCAGCTGGACAGTGTCCAGGAAGGCTGCATGGGCCAGGCTGGGCTGAATCATCACAGGGCAAGTGGGGCCGCACCCCGCCTGGGAGCCACCAGGGTCCTCCGCCATTCTCTTCCTGCTCCTTGTGGAGCCAAACATCCATTTGGAGCCTGGAGGGACAGGAAAGGGCAGGGATCCCAGGTGGAGCAGAGTAAGGAAGCCAAAAGTCTGACCTGGGACTTTGTGGGTAACAAGCCTGCTGTACCTAGAGAACCTCGAGCGCTATCGCCCAGACCAGGCAAACCCGACGGTCCCTGGACCTGAAGGCTCCGCTGGCTGGCTTTGCGGGTCTCTTCCCTACAGGCCCGCCCCCAGCAGGGGGTCCCTCAGGGGGCAACCCCCCAGGGTGGGAGGCGTGTATATGATCTTAAAGTTTCCCCCAGGGAGGCAGGGCGGGGCGGGGCGGCTGCAAAGGCCTAAGATATAAGGGCGGAAGCGCCGCTTTCAGGCCCGGCCAGCCCACCATGCACGCCCACCGGCTGCCCTTCCTCCTCCTGCACGCCTGGTGGGCCCTGCTCCAGGCGGGCGCCGCAACTGTGGCCCCAGGGCCCCTACGTCCGCGGGGCCAGCTCTCATCGCCGTCCCCTCTCGCGTACATGCTGAGCCTCTACCGCGAGCCGCCCCGGGCGGACATCACCCGCAGCCTGCAGGCGCAAGGTAGGCTGCCCTGCCCCGCCCCGCCCCGCCGAGCACCCCGGGGCACCTCAGGTCACATCCCGCCTCTGGACACCGGGAAGGCGCTAGAGCCGGCCCGGGGCGGCGGGTCAGTGTTGCGACGCTGCCGTTGAGGACGTACCCACGCGCTCGGAGGGCGCGTCGGGGTCTGGGTCTGCGGGTGTCTCGACGTCTGCACTGGCTCCGGCGCGGGGTTGGTAGGTAGCGGGGATTGTGGCGCTCCGGACGTGTCCCGGACAGAGACCTCTGGGTTCCGGGTCGTAGCTTAGCGTGGGCAGAGCGCGGTGTTGTAGGTGGGAGCCTGCCTGCGCCAGTGCTTAGCTGTGCGGTTTTCTTAGATTACGTAATCTCGGGCGCCTCAATTTGTGCATCTGTCGAGTAGGGATAATAGTAGCTGTTTTATAAATGTGTGGCGAGGGCTAGGTGGCAAGGCACAAAAAAAAAATCGCTTAGCACAAAATGAGGCGTAGTAGTCAAGTATCGTTAATATTGCTATAATTATTTCGTCTTGTCGAATTTTTTTCTTTTCGCGCGTAAGGGTGAATGGGCGCCCTGGGTCTGGCATTGGGAGTATCTCAGGCTGAGAGCGGGTATCAAGCATGTAACATCAGGGATTAGGGTTCATATCTTTGGAATTAGAGATGGGGAGCCTGGAGTTCGAGAATTGAGGCAGGCTTGGGTCCTGGAGGCCAGACTGGGGAGATGTCAGTGTCCCGGGTGACACAGCGCCTCGATTTGGAGAGGGTGGGGGAAGTCAGTGACCATGGTGACCTGGGAGTCTCGCCTTTGAGGACGAGGCAGCACGTCTGGGCACCAGGCGCTGCAGGCAGGTGGGTGTTGAGCAGAGGGAGCCCTTTCCGCGGAGTCCCCTTCCCATGTTCAATCCACATCCTGGCGCCTGGGGTGTGAGGGGACCCCTGCCGCCCTGCGCCCCCTGCAGCCTGCCGGGGCTAGACGGCCCTCCCTGGGACTGGGGCGCAATCCACATCCGATAATCTGATCTGACTAGCCACCCGCCGGCCCCTTGTGGTCTGGGGGGGTGGGGACTCCCAGCGCCCTGGCCTGCCCAGTCTGGGGTCAGAGGGCTGGTGACCCTCTCCGGAAGGGTCATCTGGGGACCAGCCCGTCTAGGGACCCCCGGGGAGCGGGACAATTTGAAAATTACTGGAGTGTTTCTCTCCTCCAGAAAGCTGCGGGGTGTGGGGCGAGGAGTGAGGGGGCATGAGGGAGTCGGGCAAAGCTGAACGCCCTTTTCCAGTGCCCCTCCTCCTTCCGGAGAGTTCCCGATGCTTTGTGGTGATGCCGCGGGTCTGGGAGTCTGGAAAACTGGGTTTTGGTCCCTCAAACCCCGCTTCCCAATTCCCCATGTGTCCCTGGCACTTCCGTTGATTCCTCTTTTGTAAAATAGGGAAGTGGCCTTCTTTCTGCCTCGTTTGTGTGTATGGTAAAATATACATAACAAAATCGACCGTTTTACCCGTTTTTAAGTGTACAGCGGCATTAAGTACATTTACATTGCTATGCATTGGCTTTGTTTTTTAAAAGCAGTGAAGTGAGAAGAGCCTGGCTGGACGGAGACTGAGAAAGGATGCCCTAAGCCGGCTCCTGTCCCTCCTGGGTGTATTTGTAAGCTCCGCCAGGATGGCGGGAAATGGGTGTTGGAGTCTAACCAAATGGGCTTTGCATCTGTGTCTGTCACTGGTCAACAACCTTCACCTTGGACCTTCAGTTGCCTCATTTCACAAAATGGTGATAAAATTTGGGGGGATTTAAGGAGACCATGCTTATAAAACACTTGGCGTGAGGGCAGCTGTTAACGGTAATCACCGTTGTAATTTATACTCAGGTAGAGTGGGCATTCCGTGTCATGCCCAGTCCCTCCTTTCCTACAGGACCCCAAACCCCAGTTCAACCTCAGTACCCTGTTTGAGAGGAAGGAACTCCAAGGGCACAAGCCCAACCACTTCCTTCTTTAGAATTGGAGGCGGATGGAGATATCACTGGGGACTGTGTGTCCAAGTTCAGTGCATGGATGGCTTTCAGGGTGTCCATGAACCCCTTCCTCATACCCACCCCAAAATCACAATTATTACATAAGTGGGAGATAGTTTTTTTCCTTGGGAGAGCATTTTTAGCTTTCATCAGGCATCAGTGGACTCCCTCTCCCCTCCCCCCAAAAAGATTAGACACCCCTATTCTAAGATGAACTGGAGCCAGGTCAAGGAAACCTGGGTCTGTCCCAGGGAGCCCTTGGCTGGGGGTGGGGTTTGGAGTCCTAGAGTCTTCTAGCAGGAAGGAGTAATCTCCCTGCCCTCTGTCCATACACACTGCCCATCCCGGTAGCAGATGATTTTGCTCCCCTGTCCAGGTCTCTCTCTGTCTGGACACCTTTATTTCTAACTTCGGCTCTGGGCAATAATGAGGTGGTTGATGATGGCCAGCGTTTATTGCACTTTGGTGGTTTTACGGGGTAAAGCACTTTACACACATGATCTCAGTAAATCTCAATACCCTGTGAGGTGGATTCTGTCACCATCTCCCTTTTACAAAGAGGGAAACTGAGTCCCAGAGGAGGCCTCAGATAGTGATCTGCCCAATGTTAAACCGCAAGTGGAGACAACAGGGCCGCTGCTCTTAACCACTGAGCTAGAAATGCCTTCCTGTGAAAGGCCATTTGTGGATACTTTAGATAACATGTTAACTCCTGGTGCATGTGGCCAGGAGTTGTTACATGTCCCACCTAATCCCCAGGTGGCCAGGTGGTGCTGCAATGGGCAAGGTCAGCCTCCTCCCCACACCTTTGGGGAGAGTTGCCAGTCAGGGGCCGGTTATTGCCCCCTGCAGGTGCTAACGAGGAGAGAAGTGGAAATTAAGTGAAAAGGAGTAGCTAGAGATGGGCTGGGAGAAGCTTCCAGAAACTGAGGCTGGGAATTGCCCCTTCTAAGGGAAGCTGTATTTCCCAGAGAAGTTCACTTACTGTCTGACCAAACACGCTCTGTGACAAAATAGAAAAAACAAAACAAAAAAACTGTTCTGTGATCTGCCTCGAATGGACCTAAATCGGAGATCATCCCTACCTCCAGGATCTATGCACAAAAGGGTTACTGTTTTTATCTCTAATGAATAACCCCTGACTTTTATTTAGCAATAAACCTTCAAACCTCTTCATTTCCCTGGGTCCTCTATTAATGCAAAGATGGGTAGAGCATTACTATTCTCGTGGCAAAAAATAAGAAACTGGGCTGGAAAAAAGTTCAAGGTCATTTTTAGGTGACCTAAAAATCCACAAATCCATGCCATTCCCAGACGTTGCACTAAATTAGTCCAGGACTAAAATTAATGGAATGTGCTTCCCCATTCCTTTTCATCCAGTTTGGACTTGGTTGTCTTGGATGGGTGGAACAACGGGGGTGTGTGTGTGTGTGTGTGTGTGTGTGTGTGTGTGTGTGTGTGTGTGTGTGTAGAGGGGAGGGGAGATGAACTCATCCAGTTTTCACCAATTGTTCTCTGGCTGTGGACTGTCTTGAGGGGGAGTGACAGAACAGTGATTTGGGCTTTTCAGTTGGGTAAATCCAGGTTTATTCTTGGCTCTGCCACCTTCCAAGAATGACACCTTGGGTGGGTCATTTAGCCTCTCTGAGCCTCAGTTTTCCTCATCTCTAAAATGAACTCGATAACATCCAACTCATAGGGTTGGGGTGAGGCTTAAGAGAGATGATTCACGTAAGGTGAGAGATCACACATGAGCTCTGGCTGTTGTTAACATCGCCTGAGGCTGCAGCAGGTCCTCACTCACCCTGCTTCCTTCTTTTTCCCCACCCAGATGTGGAGGTGGATGGGCAGAACTGGACCTTTGCTTTTGACTTCTCCTTCCTAAACCAAGAAGAGGATCTGGAGTGGGCTGAGCTCCGGCTGCAGCTGTCCAGCTCTGTGGAACTTCGCCCAGACGTCCCGCTCTCCATTGAGATTTTCCACCAGCCAAAGCTGGAGGCGGACCAGGACTCAGCTCACTGCTTAGAACGTCTTCAGATGGAACTGTTCACTGTCACTCTGTCCCAGGTGACCTTTTCCTCAGGCAGCATGGTCCTGGAGGTGACCAGGCCACTCTCCAAGTGGCTGAAGCACCCTGGGAAGCTGGAGGAGCAGAAGTCCGGTTTGACTAGAGAGTGTTGGCAGCAGCCTCCCACGCCACCTGTCACTGATGTACTCCTCCTGCTCTACTCCAACCTCTCCCCCGAGCAGAGGCGGCTGGGTGGCTCCACCTTGCAGTGGGAAGCTGAGAGCTCCTGGCGGGTCCAAGAGGGACAGCTCTCCCGGGAGAGGGGCAGGAGGCACCCTCGACATCACTTGCCAGACAGAAGTCAACTGTGTCGGAAGGTCAAGTTCCAGGTGGATTTCAACCTGATTGGATGGGGTGCCTGGATCATCTACCCCAAGCAGTACAATGCCTATCGCTGTGAGGGCGAGTGTCCTAACCCCGTTGGGGAGGAGTTCCATCCGACCAACCACGCATACATCCAGGTGTGATGCCAAGGCATGGGGGAGGGCAGGCAGTAAACCACGGGGGAGAAATGGCCGTGCTGCCAGAGCAGGGACACAGGACTCCAGCTTTGCTATTAAATTACAGTGTTCATTCATGCACAGTTATTCAGGTACCTGCACTGTGCCAGGTCATGTGCTAGGTCCTAAGGATGTAGAGATGACCAATGACAACATCCTCAGAAAGCCTACATGGAGTCGTGTTCTGTTGGGTAGCCTTGAACGTGATGCTTTCCTGGGACTTTTTCTTGCATAAAATTAGGGGTGGAGGATGTAGACTGGAGGGTCTTAGCTCTGACATTCTAGGAAAGGAAGTTCAGAATCTGGAGTTTGGGGGTAGACAGGCCTGGGTTTGATTCCTACTTATTAGCTGTGCGATATTGATCAAGTTGCTTACTCCCTCAGCCTCAGTCTTCCCATCTGTCAAATGGGGAGAGCAATGCCATATTTCATAGGGAGGTTGTAGGGTTAAATGAGATGATATGTATACCTCAAGTATACTATTTGGCAGATAACAAGCATATTTGAGGTTATATTCTTATTAGAAATCTGTGACTCACTGATGAAATGGGGGCCATGTTTATGGGTGCAGGGTTGATATACTCCTGTTCCAGCCACTGTACTTTTACTGCCTAAAACAGGAATTGGACACCCATTTTGCAAGAGTTAGATAAGGCCAGAGGCTACCACCAGGTGCCACTAATCAGCCTAGGGTCTAGAAGGAGGTGGAGGGAGAGGAAGGGAGGGAGAATGAGAGGGATAAAGTAGAGAATAGAGGCTACTGTAGTGGCCCTGATATGATAGGTAGCCCTGCCCTGCTCTCCAAGGTCATAAGGAACCAATGTATCTTTATTTACTCCGAGAAGCCTAGAATGAGTATCTCTTGGGGCTGTAGTACATCTTCCATCCCAAGCGTCAGGCGGGGTTCAGAGGTTCTGGGGAGTATGTGAGCTGAGCTCACGTGAGGGAGGCACTAGTGCGGCCAGCGCCCTAGAGGACCTGTCCTGGGCAAAGGCCCCCTGAGCCTCTTCCAGGCCCCACTTCATGCCACCAGCCTACCTGTAGCACAATCAGAGGGAACAACAGAGGTCCAGATAGTCCTGGTTGCCAGCTCTGATCTGAAAAGACGTCGCTGGCCCACAGGGACAGGGCCCGGTTCCAGAATGCCAAGGGGTTGTTACCTTTTCTCTGTTTGCCCTTCTTTGGGCAACAAAGTAAATCCTACAGGAATTTCTGCATGGCTCTTTTCTGCCTCATATTTCTGGAACTAAACCAGGAGTTTCTTGGGATATTTTATAAACTGGTATTTACTGTAGACTAGAACCACAGAACATGCGTTAGCTACCTCTCTACCCAGATACCGCGTTTAGAATCTTCTGTTCAGAGGATGTTTTAAAAAAGAGAGTTGTTTTACAGGTTAAGGTTGACGATGTGGTGGCATGCTGATTCCTTTATGAAAACAACTGTCTTCTATTTTTGTACCCAGGGACTGATTGTAACTCTCTTTTTCACCCTTTCCCCAGAAATGACCCTGTGTTGATCGGACCATTGTGATGTGAATTGACCCCCTCTCCTTCCTTCCTTTCACAGAGTCTGCTAAAACGGTACCAGCCCCACCGAGTCCCTTCGACCTGCTGCGCCCCAGTGAAGACCAAGCCACTGAGCATGCTGTACGTGGACAATGGCCGAGTCCTTCTAGACCATCATAAAGACATGATTGTGGAAGAGTGCGGGTGCCTTTGAGGCGGCCCTGGCGGGGTGCTGGATTTGCCTGTGCCCTGGAAGGTCAGGAAGCTCCTGGCAGACGCGATGAGCATCTAATCCAATGAGGAGAAACAAGGGCGGGGAAAGTTGCTCTGGCCCACCAGAGCGGAGGAGGAAGGGCCGCCCACCCCGTAAAGGAACGCTGTGTGGAGTTCGGCTACACGCAGAGGCCACTGTCGGGAGAGGGTGGAGGAAGCCTGAGGACTGGCACTGCTGGCTTTTCTTTACTGAACAGCCAGTGGCGAGTAAAAGCACTAGTGGAAGAGTTCTTTACCTGGCTTTTTTTTAACCGGCGAACCCCCGGAAATTGTATGGGAAAGTTGGGGCGTATGTGCATTTATTTTTGAGGGGGGACAAGGCTGTCTATAAATTTTATGTATTCTTGAAAGTGGTCTTTGATACCCCGCCCTCCCCCTCACACACACATACACACGATTAAGCATCACTGCGTTAAATTAAAAACGGTCAGCTCTCTTTGCCTCGGGCTGGGTTAGGGAGCCCCACATCGTTCTGGCTGGCCAGCGGCAATCTGTTGGCCTTGTTCTGGGCTCCCTGGAGTGGATCTCTGCTAATGAGTTGTATAAACAATAAAGCCACTGTATAGTCCTTCTAGGCCATCTGGTGCCATTGAAGGGAGAGGCAGGAACTCGTCCAAGAGAAGTGGCCATGTTGGACTATAGAAGTCGGGGCCCTCAGACACCCCCCGCATCAGTCGGCTTTGGCAGACACAATCGAGTCTATTAAAGTTAGTGACAGTTCACCTCCATCTCTCAATGCATGCTATTAGTGAGGCCCCTGAGTTTCCTACCCAGTAGAGATGAAGGCCCTGTCCTGGTTGGGTTCTGCTCACAGCTCAGCCACTGTGAAGCTGTGTGACCTCAGGTGAGTAAGTCACTACTCAGCCTCATCCTGTGACATGAAAGCAGGTGGATCCTAATGCATTCCTGTTAAATGTCCCTTGGCAGGCTCAGAGGAACCACGACCTTTAAGCCATGGACTGTCCTCTGGGCTTTATCCCCATCTCCATGTAAAGCCTGCTAAGCCCAGGGCCTGCCATAGCCCATTTATCTAACCTTTAACTGCTCTTTTGTCACTCAGGATTCTAACATTGGTTTAATAGCAGCACAGCAAAAGGAACTCGTTTTCTTATAGGAAACTCTCCCGCCAAACACACACGTCTTCGCCAAAGGCAGCAATTCTGCATTTCTCTTATCAGACCTCGTTGAGCGTTGCCCAAACAGGGGCTATCTTTTCTTGTTTGGCAGGGCAAGGGGGCCATTGTGTTGGGAATGTGAGTCCATAGTCAACTTACCCGCTTTCCCAAGAAGCCCACTAACTTGTGCTCCAGCCTTAGGGAAATGATTGCAATCATGTGGGGACTCTTGCTGAGTTTAGATATGACTCAACCACAGCCTTGGTTGAGTCCAGGCAGGGGTTGGCTAGGCTAGGGCCAGGCGCAGGCCTGAGAAACCTCAATGCCCTGATTCAGCAACAAAGCAGATCCTGCGGCTCATCTCCTGGAGTAGAAAGACATGCCCTAACCACAGTTCAAAAATCACAATGGGATTCTGCATCTGACTCAGAAAACAGTGGAGCGGGGGAGGCCTTGTGAGGTCAGCTTTTGTCCCATCCTCTTTCCTCAACGAGACCCCAGAGACCCAGTGGCCTGACCACACAGCTAGAGTGGCAGGGCCAAGAGCTGAGCTCTGGCCTCTGGAGCCCCTGGGGCATTGTCCTTAGTAGCATCTAGAGGTCTTTGCTCCCCTAGCTTTGGATCAAGGCCGTAGCCTTTGGAACTAGACATTCAAATCCCAGTTCCACTGCCAAACTGAATTTCTTGGGAGAGACTATCCCATCCCGGGGCTTTAAAGCATCTTCTTTACTAAGTAGGTGCCCAATAGTTCTATGGTGGGGGCCAAAAAAAGTGAAAGGCCGAGCGATTTGTGGCTGCAGCTGTGGGCATATTCAATTAGCAGCTCTCTAACTCAGGAAACACCTCACTGATGACAAGGCATTACCTCATATCAAGCAGAAGTCACAGGCACAAAGGAAACCACATTTTGCTGACTCTTGCTGAAAGCGGAATTGTTGGTTTGTCAACAGCAGGGGATTTCTGCTCCCGGGCCAGAGGTATTTGGGGCTGCATAGCGACAGCTCCATGCTGTGTGTGGCCATGAAGGCTTTCTATGTCAGAAAAAAATACTGTCTCAGAAAGCCAAGACCTGCCTTAACCTGGGGGCCAGGAAGGGGATTTCATAGAAGAGAGATATTTTAACTTTCTCTGAAGGCAAATGTTTACTACTGCTCTTCCTGTAGCAGTGCCAAATCAGTAGCTGAGTGGGAAAAACTGGATGCATTCCTCTGCTTGGCTGGGGAAGTGGGTAGGCTTGGCAGTACATAGGAGTGGAGAAAAGGAAAGACGATGTAAGATGGGAGAAGCAGAAACACAGGACACAGATTTGGGAAGCGGTTATGACTCTCACACAGCACCACTCAGGGGTTTAGTCTCTATCTACAGTCTCCCCTTTTATTAACAGCAAACCCCTAACCCCTCTAAGTTGGCTTTGAAGTTAATATCCTAATTACCTTTGGGGCAGAATAAAGGATGTAGGAAAGTGCTTTCAAAATTACTTGGCCCCTTCCCTGAGATTCTTTAGTCCCTCTGGAGTGTACACCACCAGGTGGTAGCTGCAGTTCCCAAGACAGCTCCACTCCCAAACCTGCACTCTGGGGAAAAGGAGACCCAGCTACCAGCTTCTGGTTGTCATGCCAGCTAAGCTTTGCTTGAGTCCTTTATTGAACTCAATGTACCAGGTACCATGTTTTTCCCATGATCTTACCTGACTGAGCCTCCCAATGCCCTAGGAAAGACTTATTTCTTATCTTAACCATTGTAGAGAAGGAAACTGGCAGCACAGCTGGAATCCAGCCTTACTCCAAAGCATGTGCCCTAAGCCTCCAGGCTGTCTTGACCGGAACACATCTCAAGCAGTTTTCTTCTGAGGGCCTGTGTTTACATAAAAAACACAAAGGGATAGAATTCTTGTTCTCAGTACTAACGTATAAACCTCACTGGATTAATAGCAGGCATTGGATGCTCATGCAGCCCAGCCTCATTTAAGACATTAAATATGATGGGTTTCTAACAAGTGCTCCTGAAGAAGCTGTTTGGGCTACAAGGCTGGTACCTAGAGGGCCTTCTTGGGTACATCCAGCGCCAGCATGTACACGTTCACTTCCAAGCTCCTGAGGGACGGGACATATCACCTCCTTGCATGTACAGGGCCAGGTGGATAAAGTGCTAAGTGTTGAGACGAACCAACACATGAAGTGGCTAAATGCCTTTACCCATTTCCCTCACCAGCCAGGACTCCCCAATGTGAAATGAACAGGATTTCACCTGAAATTTTTAAAAAATAAATAGAACACCAAGTTGATATTCAAGATCTTTATTGACTTAACTGTAACAGCAACCATTGGTGAGAATATTTTTCCCCCTAATTTCCAAACACCTGCTGGTTTGGAAGGGCAATTACAAAAACACAAAACAAAACAAAAAAATCACGGAATCACACAGGACCGCCTTAAGACTGCATGGTGCTCTCAGCTATCCATCCACAACAGTGAAATAGACGGGAGAGGTCAGGGGACAACCACATCAAAGGGAACAAAAGGAAGATCAAAGAAAAAAATGGCAGTGTCCGCTTTTCCATTCAGAATGGACAGAATTGGGCCACTGGTGGCACTAAGACAGGGAAGGGTATTTTTTTTTTAATATATAAAATATTTTAAAGATGCTTAAAATGGACACATGAATATGTGCATGTCCTCTGGGCTCTCCAAACCACCTTAAGTTTATCCGCAGGTAGCAGAGGGTCTCCTCACCGAGGTGGAGAGATGGGCTCCATCCGCAGGTGAAAGCAAGGCACAGGCTCACAGTCCTCGGCGGCTCGGATACAGACGGCGGGAACAGGACGGCTCCCGGCACCACGTGCCCCTTATCACTAGCGTTCCTCCTCCACTCTCCTGGTTTCAAGTAAAAATCACCCTTGGCCTGGGCTGTGTTGTTTTTTTTCAAGACAAAGAGGATTACAATGGGGCAAGAATGGATATTCTATGCTAGATTCATGGAATTCTCTAAGTTTGAAGTGTCCAGGAATTCTGGTCTTAAGCACCGGCAAGAACTCCCTTTGAAAATTTCAGCGTCGCCAAGTGACTATCAAGCATTGCAGCATCTGGGCCAGCCTCCCACTCCTAGAAACGTGGTAGAGTGAGAGTTTAAATACCTCCGGAAATGTGTTTTGTCTAGGTAATATTTCCCACTGGGCATCCATACAATATAGTCTGTCAGGGCTGCAGGCAGAGGTTAAGCCAAGAGAAGCCACACACCATCCGAACAGAGACTTGAAAGACTTCACCTACATCTAAGCTTTGCCAAAAGGTATGGTATCAACTTTTAGGGCCAGCCCAGAGAAATAAACAAATTCCAGAGTGTGGAAAAGGTGACATGAATGACTGTTTGAAGAAGTATTTATCAACCATCCTGAGTCTTCAGTAGAAAATTTCTGTGAGCTAGCTAGCCTCAAGGAAACTCCAATACTAAACTGGAAAATAATTACTAGGATAGTAAATGTCCCTGGGGTATAAGCATTCTAAAAAATTGTGACTCATGTGCTTCAAAATCTGCTTTCATCTTTTATTAAAAGCTGAGAGGTAAAGAAATTGGGAGGGAGAGCTGTATTTGTGGTAACTCCACCCACCTCAAAGTCCAGACAGAAACTGCCTTCCCAAAGAAACAATGCTTCTTTAAACAATACCCCCTCCCAGATGTCATGGCTGGGTAAGTGATTGGGTTTCGTAGATAAATAGCCGCCCATATGCACATAGTCCAGAAACGTGCCAAGGAAGTTCTGACCCAGATAAAGGCACTGGGCCTCCTCTTTATAGGGGAACGCAGAGGGCCGAGGCCCGGGCTCAAGCAGCCAAGGTGCCTGATGCCTGAGGATCCAAGATGGGGAGACTGGAAAAAGACTGCGTTTCTGGGATATTGCTGCCTACACGATGAGCCCCTTACACCAGTGGCCTTGATTCCAAGCAGGCACTCAGTATGTACTGGCTGACCGATGGACTCTGGGGTGAGACCCACACATCTAGCAGGCTGCATTCTAGTGGAAAGATTTGAACTGGGAAGGGAAGGTCTGAGAATCCCAGAGCTGGTAACCCAAATAGCAAAAATAAAACACCAGCTATGTCAACTCCACCTTAAAATCAGAAGGAAAAGCAAAATTCATTTGAAGGTGCTTTAAATATGAGTTCCTTACTGCTGGAAGAAGTACTTTTTTCTTATAGTTGCCTTAGCAGCAATGCTTTTTATTCAAGTCCACTCTATAGGAGGGCTATAGATCAGAAAATGTTGGGAAGAGGCAGAGTGTAAACCCAGATGAGAATTTACATCTTTGAGATGTCTGAAATCTCTAAAAACTTGGTTGGGCATGGCTGTCACAAACACACAGTAGACAATCACTGAGAAAAGTGTTGAACTGACAAGGCTCATCTAAGTTTCTCTCAAGGGTGAAGACAGGACTTGTTCTCTTTAAGAACCATCTCCATCAGGAAGCCCAGGGACTAGGTGGGCATGCAGTTAACCTGCACACTGGACTTGAAGGAACAATCAAGCACAAACATTTCTAATTCCCAGATGTTCCCTACTTCGACAATGGCTTCTTGGGTGAGATCAGGCCCACATCTGTTTCAGCTGGTGCAGCTGGAGAGCAGCTGCCAAGCATCAACTCTGGCTTCCAGATGCTATCATCTATTCCACCCTGAATCTGAACTGTTGGTTTTTCTTCAGCTCAGTAACCCATCATCTAATTCATGTTTGCTTCCTTTGCCGGACAACCCTGAAGTCAGCTTTAATCGCTCAGCTAGGATCCAATTCTCTTTGTCAATTTTTGGCTAAGGGAGATAGCAAGTAAGTGGTATTGAATCTTAGAGACACCAAACCTAAGACGTGCAAAGCAGCATCCATAGGCTGCTGGTAGTCAGGCACATGTATAGGTATTATGGTCTCCTGGAAACTGCCATTTCTCACCACCCCTCTAAAAATCAGCAGGTATATAAAGAACGCAGGTTCTAAAAAACGGTTTTCAGAGCAACAAAATCTCTCAGCCTATCATCTAATTTAAACTCACCCTATCTCCCCTCGCCCCCAGTGGTCTGGTTTCATCCTGTTATGGGTGAGGTGGTTTTAAGCTGTATCTACAAATTCTTTGATACTGTTCCATTCAGTAGATGGGGTGTAATTCTCCCCTTGAGAGTAGGCTGGGCTTAGTGGCTTGCTTCTAAAAAACAGAAGGAAGAAGTGACCGTGTGTGCTTTCAAAGACTGTCATAAAAGGCACTGTAGATGCCTCCCCCACTCGACCCCCATCACTCAATCGGAGAAGCCAGCTGCCCTAGTGTGTAGACACACATGCTGCCCTATAGAGACCCACATGGGGAGAAACTGAGGCATCCTGCCAACAGCCACAGAAAGAGAGCTTCGAAGTGGATTCTCCAGGCCCAGAAGGCTGCAGACTCTGCCGACATCTTGACTGTAACTTCCTGAGACCTTGTGCCAGAACCCCAATGCTAAACTGCTTCCAAATTCCTAACCCACAGAAACTACCAGATGATGTTTGCTCTTTAAAGTTTGGGGGTGGTTTGTTACACAGCAATAGGTAATACAGGTGGAAAGGCAAAACTCTTGGTTTGGAAGCCCAGTACCTACTCTTAAGATCTTGAGAGCTATTTAAACAGGATATGAGGAAGTGGTAAACTCAATGAACCACACTGTAAAGAAGGCAGAACCACGACAATGCATGTCTCCTGCTGGAATTTGGAGGGAGAGGTCATTTCCCATTAAGATGGACTGTCCCAGGAGTACAGAAGCATGGGTTCCTCATAAAAATAAAAGTACAAAAGATCACTAAGATTTTAAGAACCATCTCATTTAAATGGTACCTGAAGGGTATTCCCTCCCCAAGAAAAGACCAGGATAAGTAATTCATTTAGGTCTTCCATAAGTTGCCTTCCAAACATCCAGAAGTAAACCACCTACTGGATTATGGCTTGCCCTGTAAATGATTCTATGAAGCATGGCCCAAAGGGTGTCATTTGTTGGAATTGATCTGTTGCCTTGTGAAATTATCTTCAAAATGCCGATTTAAGAAGGTCAAGGTATCTCTAGTAGCAGTGGCCCCCAAGAAAGAACTGCACTAGGCAGTAAGGAGGTCCTTGCAGAGAAGGCTAAGGGATTGGGCAACTGCTCTGTTATACAGCTGATACTCCCAAGAAACACTAGAAACATGGCTTCTGATTAGAGGGCCACATGCAGAGATTCCCCAAGATGGCAAAAAAAGGGGAAAATGGCATCTTAATACTACTCATGTTGGCATGTTTTAAATCCATTCCCCACTGTTGGGTGAGGAACCTGAGTTTTCATGTGCAACAATCAAGATAAAGCAGGGGGCACTCTTCTGCTCCCTGACAGACTCACTAGCTGTAGTTGGAGTCAGATTCCGAAACAGGATGCTAAGGCCAGAGTATGAAGAATGAAAAACTTCATTCCCAAAGAATCAAGCTCCCAGGGGACAAATGTCCTGAGCAAGCTTCTTATGCAAATTACAGTGCAACTTGAGTTTTTCCAAGAGAATGTAAACCAAAATTTGGAGTTTAATTAAAATCAGAACAGGGATACATCAAACAAACAAAACAAACTTTTCTGATCATCGATTTTTGAGATTGAAAGCATCCCCAAAACTTTGTGGAGGTCCAGCTTATTCCTGAGAGACATTACCCATCACAAAAGGTTTCCCTCTTTGAACTATTCACATTTTGTAGCAGAAAACAGAACCAAGTCCCTCAGACATCTTTTCTCTCTTCTGTCTAAAATGTATTCACAAACAGGGTCTTTTCATAGTTCAAAAAAAAAAAAACACACAGCTTTCTTTCTTAGCCAGTTGGCCTGTTACTCTCACCCTGGGATGTGATTTCTCAGTAAGAGGGTTCAGGGCACCAAATCCAACCAGAAATTCCTAGGACACCACCAGTGGCTGCTTTACTTGTCTTTCTATGTGGGGGCAGAGGCATTAGTCTTTCTGGAGGGGAGTCACTCTTCCGGGATTACTGTGCCAGTCAACAGTCAGGAGAGCAGTTGGGGAGGAGGGGGAATGACAGAGCAAAGGGCAAGGCAAGAGAAGGCTTTCAGGAACAACCCACGGCAAGGCAGAATGGTCATTTTACAAACCACCCACTACAAACGCCAAACACGCACACCCAAAACTAGAGGGAGAAGGAAAGAGCTCATAAGGGACCACGGGAGACAAACGATGGTGACATGGAACAGCAGGCTCGCCTATGGACATTTCTCTCACCTTCCTAGCACTGGAAGATGTGTGATTAAAAAGTTGCTGTTCAAAATTGTACTGAAAACATATCTAAAAATAGGTCTGTAGTCATCTTAAAAATAAAAGGTCACTCCTCAGACAAGAGGAGTGACAGATATTATCAGATACCAACACTTGAGGTATCTTTGATGTATATTTGAAAAATGGCCTGGCAGAGAAAAAGGAAGGAGAGCGACATGGAGGAAATGAGGGACGAAGGGAAGGAAAGAAAGGGAAAATTCAGAGTACATGGGAAAGGCAAGAAAATGAGGAGGAACACATTTTTAAACCCATGCTTATCTAGGTCAGCAGCCAAACAAAGCAGGCCCACAAAGGAAAAAAATTTAGTTCTTTTCTAAGAGCATTCTGAAAGTCAACTTTAAACTCTAAAAATATAAAAAACTGCTATCTGAGACAACAAATATCACCATGCTCATTGGACTGAAAAACAATGACCACTGAGACCGGGTACTCAAATGGCTCAATGCTCTCCCAAGGTCATTCCTAGGCATCATCTGAAGAATACGATGATCAGGCCTCATTCGAAGGGCCTCTATCACTTGATATGGACCTACTCTGGGAGCAGTGAAATCACCTGGATGCTCAGAGTACTGGAGGGCTGCAAGCAACACAATGCAAGCAGGAAGCAATGGAAGAAAGGGAGGAAAGAATGGCTGGCTACTGATGACTCCCTTCTTATGTAGAGTTTAAACATTTTTGCACAAATGTGCTAAGTAAAAGAATGGGAAAATGAATTATAATACCAAAGACAGGAGACATTCTCCCAGAGGATGGAGAGGAAGTGGGCCTCAAAACAGTGTCACAGGGTAGTGCTTCCAGAGTTGTAAAAACTGTGCTGTCCCCAAGGACAAACGCCTCAGGGTAAAAGGGAAAGCAGCTCTCATTTATTTTCCTTTGATGGTTTTGAAGACCCCCCAAACCCAGACTCCTGATGCACTGAACCATGAGTGGGAGACAGGGAGGAGAGACACAGGGTGAGAGCATGAACAATGCTGAAGCCATCAAACTTCTGTACCACTTCCCCAGACTTTCCAGCCGGGAAGTTTCTGGTAGGTTGATATTTGATTTGGGATTAAAAAACGAAAACAAAAACTTTTTTTTTTTGGAGGGTTGTTTCTCAATAGCAAAAGGACTACGAAGCCAGAATTCAACTGTTTACCTTTGTGGGCTGCTTAGTTCTACAAAAATATGCCATGGGCCTTCAATCAAATCTAAGTGGGAAGTAGAACAGGAAACAGGGGGAGGGAACGGTCAGATGTAGCCCATCTTCGCATCATTTGGCACCCAGAGGAAGAGGAGGAGGCGGAGAGTGAATGGGGACTGCTGGTACTGCCTCTTCTGTGCTTTCACTGTTGATCTTATTGGCCAAATCAGGTACACACAGGTAGCAGTGTTGCTGCTGCTCTGATCCGTGCAGGACAGTCAGATGTCCATCTCAAACTGAGCATCATCCCCTAGTTAGAATGAAAAAGGTGAAAAGTTTAACACAGATCAGAAAAGGAAAACGACTTTGTCATTCCTTCTCCACAACGGTCAAAAAATAATTCATACTGTCCCATTCTCTGCTGCCTTAAAGTAACTATTCTGCTTTGCTTTGGCTGGTCTTTTTAATCTGGGGGTTAAAAAAGAATGGCAGTCAAATCACCTATGGGGAAGAGCATTTGGGAAAAGGATATAAGTGAAAACTTTCCCAGTGTCCCTTTGTCCACAGGTTGACCAAACAGGAGCTTCTGGGGTGCTCCTGGCCATCTATCACGTGGGCATACTCTTCTGGAGGCTCTGAACTTTGGCCCTGCTCTGAACGACACCTTGTCCATTAAAAGCTCATTTGGAATCTGGGGAGGCCGAATGCTGGCTCACGTACAGGGGTCATTACAGGGGTCGCGGAGTGCAACCAGAGGTGTACTTCAGGAGCTGGCCATTTCCACCTCCCTCCTCTGCTTCCAGAGACAGACGAATCCTTACTGAGTGTGTGTGTATAGGGGGAGCTCATTAAAATATTAAAGGCAGTCCTAGAAAATGGGGGAAAAAACCCATATTGCTTTTCTCCACACCATAAAAAGGATGGAAATGAAGGCTATTAAATTGTTTTGTGTATGTATGTGTGTGTATGTGTGTGTGTTTCCCCTAGTCCAATAAAGCCCAGGTTCAAGGAATCAACTTTGGGATTTACCATTCCCTGATTTTGGATTTCCGCCCCCGTACCCACTAGATTAGACATCGTCATGATTTAGAACTTAGGATTCCAGAACATTACAGTAAACCTTGGTGAGAGGGTGGAGGGAGTTGGGACCCTCAGAGACATATAACTAACTGAATGTCAGTTATAACTGAAGCCATCAACATTTTTCAACCTTCAGCAGCAGGTTGACCTTCAAATTCCCAGGGCCACCCTCTGGGTCCCCAATACTAGTATTCTCTTACCAACTGCATGCTTCCTGTCGTGATTGTTCAAGTTGTTCAAATTGTTTACTTCTACTTTGGAGTCTTCGATTAAGGTGCCAGGACTGGTGACTCCTGGGATATTGGGCAGATGGCAGGGCGGGGTCTGAGCCATGGGGGAATTGCGACGATCCAACAGAAACTTTCGATCATAAATGATTCGGGTTCCTGGAAAACATGGTTGGAAAGAGTTTAAAACACATTAAGGGGCTATCAACATATAATGCTGCCCAGGAATTTATTTTAAATGCCATCTAATCCTACTAGCCCTTAAGGATTTTACAATTAAAGCTAAAAAGGGAAAACTCTAACCTCCCTGCCTGGGACCAGGCTCTTCAGCATGTGGAATGCCTTTTCCTTCTCCTCTGCTGGGGAAACTCCTGCTCATCCTCCAAGCCTCAGCTCCAATATCGCTTCCTTTATGAAGCCTTTTCTTAAAAAACATTCTTTCCCCCCATCTTACTCAATACATACTACTACAGGGCTCTTGTTTATTTATTTGCCTCTCTCTAAAGGCTCTGAGTTCCTTATGCCAGGGCCATGGCTTATTTATATCTGATACAGGTTCTAATTATTAAGGTCCTCTAAACAGTTTTAAATGAAGTTATAAACAAGTATGTGAAAAAACAGCCATTAGATAGGTAGCCACCTACAGGTTAGAGGCTTTCCAAAGAGTCACTGAGACAGACCTTCTCTCCAGACAGAGCTGTGGTAGAAGCCCGCCTCTGTTTTATAAAACAATCTGCTTATCAGTAAGTGCTGCCAAAGTGTTTTACAATAGTTCTGAAGAGTGCACTTTACCTGATAAACAGTTAAGAAAAGCTGCTGCTATCCATTTCTACTGTCATGGTCTTCCCAAGATACTAATGGCTACAACTAAATGACAATTTAGATGCCTGATGTTGGCCTAATATATTGGAGCTCTACTGCTGATTCTAAGTACAGCAGGCTCAGGCGAAAGGATGTGGTGACAATGTAGTGATGTCTGCTGAATGGGTGAGGTGAAGAGGAATAACCATGTGCAGGCACCTTGCTCATACCAGGATTAAACCCAGGAAGAAAAACCTGCTTTAAGGTTTTAGGCATCCAAGTGAAAGGTAACAGTATATGAAAATAAAGCTGAGTACAAAGTTACTCAGCTTAAAGAGGCAGAATGTAAATACTACTAGTACCTGCTGGTCAATGCTTTCAGATTCCCAAGTGAAAAGAAATGAAACTGTCATGTTATAATAAGGAGAATCTGGTTTAGGTAGATTTCCTCAAACGGCATGTGATAGATAGCTATATCCCAGGAAACAGAAGAACAAATACAACAGTTAACTAATCTATTTGAAATGTGAGGAAACAAGCGGAAAAAAACAAGGCATTTACTGCAGGAGGAATAGAAATTTTGGAATCTTCTCCAGCAAGGAAGGAAATGAACATTTAATCGAAATAATATCGACATTAAGATGAATATTTGGGAAATGAGTTATAAACGCAATAGTTTTCTTGGGATTAATATCTGCAGTGGTACCATGGCTCTTCAATGCAAATGATAGTAATTTCCTTTTGACTAAATGGAAAACAGTCCAACTAGTGCCTTTCTAGGTGAGAAAATGGCCAAGGGACTACCCTGGATCCCCTACCCTCCACCCCCCTTGCTTTAAAAATCAGAATTAAGTACTCAATATACTGTTCTCAATAATACTACAAAATCTGTCACAGGAAAGAATGACTAAGTGTCTCAGGACGGAAGCATGTTCTCAGATGGGAATCTATAAACACATTAAGTCATTTCAAAACAAAACCTTTAAGGCTTTCAAGCCAATTTCAAAAGATATTAACTTTTTTTTATTATCTAGTTCTTGTACAACTATACTGCATGCACAATCATATTTATAGTTATAAGAAGTAAAAAATATCTGGCTCTCAGACCCTCCATAATAAACTACTACGGAAAACACTGTGCCATATTTGGAACCTACTAAGACAGTATTTTTCCAGATGATCAGAATCATCTGGGATACTTGTTAAAAAATATTCCAACTGAATTTGAATCCTTGAGATTGGAACCTGGAAATCCGTCTTTTTTAAGTCCCCCAGACTATTCTTGTGTTCATTAAAGTTAAGAAAGAACCCAATTTCATCCTTCTTCCAAAACCCTAGTAACACTAACTTGAGAATAGACAAAATATGAAAGAATTAGTAAGAGAGTGATGGAAGGGGCTACAGAAATCACTTTGATGGATGCTGAGACCCAGAAAAGTGACATAATAAGGTCACAGAACTAACCAGAGGCACAATCGGAACTAGCCCTGTGGTTTCCTGACTGACTCCCAGTCCAGCCCTCTTTCTGTTCCACCTCACAGTCACTATAATCTCCAAGAGTGGGAGTGAGTTGTCTGAAGAGTGGAAAGGTATGTTACTTATATATAAGTAACAGGGTGAACAGCAGACGGTATGACAAGCACTTTATACAACAGAGACGACCAAACATTTTCCCTAAAGGACCGCTTTTCAAGGCGGGTGGGGGAAGAGGTGGAGGGGGTTTTTGAGTTTTAGTCTTCTAGTTTGGCAAGGCCTGAGTACTTACGTATTTTATAAATGACTTAATCTTTATAGTTCTTCTTACTGACAGAGAAATGTAGTTTTTAAAATTATATAACAGGTAGGTTATATAATCTAAGAAATTCATTTCAAAATAGTAAAAGAGGCATTACAAACTACTGGTAATAAAAAGAGGTTGCTGGTAGATAAGACAATCTCTAAAGGATAGTATGGCAGAAACCAGGTTAAAAGCTCTATGGTAAATGGTGTTTCTTTCACCTATGAGGCTAAATGAAATAGGCAAAAGCCAAAAACTTTACAAAGGAAGTCTTTTCGTCCTTTTAGAGTGGGCTAGAATTAGCTTCCTATTTTTACTGTTAGAAGCATGTAGGCACAAAGTCCCACAGACCACTTGTGATGGGACCATGATCCTAATCTTAGAAGAACAGTTTTGCATGTCTCCCCTCCAACCCATAGAGAACACTTGGAAAAGTTGGAAATCATTCGTTCCTGGTTTAAAGAAGACACAAGTCTTATATTCTGTTTCAAATATAATTTTAGGACAAGGAAACTAGAAATTTACCTTTACTCTCTGCTTTGTAAAATAAGGGCTATAGTTACAACTCAGAAAGGCAACTGGAAATTATGTCATTTTGGATAGTAGAAAATTTAGTTCAATTTTCAAAAAGTGAACAATTTGAATTATTTTGGACGGAATTTTTTCTAATACCTATTTAAAATTTTTACTACCTTAAACAGAAAATAATTCAATCCTTTCTTGATGAATCAGGGTCATTAGTATGAAAATCATTTATTATACTATGTTGTGACCTGGGAAGTCACAGGGACTATTCAACTGATGCTCTTTATTTTCCTTACACTGTACAGAACTGCTCCTCCCTCCATAGTTATCTCTTTCGTCAGTTAGGCTAACGGGTGCCTTTTCACAAGTCTGAGTCAGCTTGGGCTGCCTTAGCAAAATATTACAGACTGGGTGACTTAAAGAAAAACGTATTCACCCAGTTCTTGAGGAGTCCAAGGACAAGATGTCAGCATGGGCTATTTCTGGTGAGCGCTCTCTCCTAGGCATAGCTGCCTACCGATTGTGTCCTCACATGGATAAGGGGGAGCCAGCTCTCCAGCCTCTCATCTTATAGGGGCACTAATCCCATCATGAGGGCCCCACCTTCATGACCTCATCTAAATCTAACTACTGTATTTTGCCGTGTATAATGTGCATTTTTTTGCCCAAGTTTCTGAGGGAAAAATAAGGATATACATTATACATGGGCAGTACTGATTCCGTATGTATATAAATGTTTTTAATTCTTTTATTTATGCTTATGAGTTAAAAGTGCAAAAATAAATAAATGCTAAAATTCCTTTATAATATAAAAAACAAGTATCTAAATAAAAAACAAATAAAAATCTGAATTAAAAAATTAAAACGAAAAATTTTTTCCCCTGAAAGTTTGGGCCAAAAACGTGGGTGCACATTATACATAGCAAAATATGGTACTTCCCAAAGGCCCCATCTCCAAATACCACATTGGGGGTTAGGGTTTCAATATATTAATGGGGAGGGCACAATTCTGTCTATATACATACACCTCAATACCATTCAAACTTGATGCTTCTAACCTGTTGGGTTTGGAAATCAGTGATGTGCTTATTAGAATGCTATGTAAAATAAGAGCAAATAGGCTGAGAAGGGGCCTGATGGCTTTCCAATGAACAAAGGGAAGGAGCTTTAGTGGACGGACTTTGCACATCTGTTGTGTCACCCCCACTTTTGCTGTTTGCTGCTAACTTTCAGAAGGATGAGATCTCACTGTGAGATGTTCTTGCTACCATTCAACTTGCAAGTCAGAACAAGATTATTCTCATTTCTGCAATACATCAAGCTTGAAAACTTGATGAAAACAAGGGATGAGATGGTGGAGAAAAAAAAGATACAAATAAGCTTTCTATTTCTAAATTATATATTAGCAATAACATATACATTAAAGAATTATAACTGAAACAAGGAAATAAGTAGTAGAGGTTCTACCTAAATGTTATGAGATATAAGAGAAACTGAAGAACTGACTTTGCAGGTGATAAAATACATTTACAGTTTTATTGAGATATAATTCACATATAATTTTCATTCAAAGTGTGTAATTCAATAGTTTCTAGTATATTCACAGTTGTGCAACCATCACCACAATCAATTTTAGAACAATGTGATCATCTTCAAAAGATGACCCACACACATTTAGGAGCCCCTGTCCACTTTCCTACAACCTCTTCCAGCCCTAGGTAACCACTAATCTGTTTTCTGTCTCTATAGATTTGCCCATAGAGACATTTCATATAAATGGAATCCTATAATACATGGTCTTTTATGACAGCCTCTTTCACTTGCATAATGTTTTCAAGGTTCATTCATATTTAGCATTTATCGGTATTTCATTTCTTTTTTATTGCCAAGTAATATTGCATTGTATGCATATATCACATTTTATCAATTAATCAGTAGATAGACAAGAAATCTGAGTTGTTTCCACTTTGAATAATGCTGCAAGTTTTTGTGTACATGTTTTAATTTCTCTTTGGCATATACCTAAGAGTAGAATTGATGGATCATATGGTAACTG